TGGAAATGTTTTCTTTCATTTATCCTTTAATGTTGAACATTAATTATCGTTTTTACGATTGAAATAAATTTGAGAGATAATTATACAAATATTAAGTACAATTATCAATAATTAACATATACGTCAAGAAAATGTTTTCTTTCATTTATCTTTTGATATTGAACATTAGTTATTGCTTTTACGATTGAAACAAATCTGATAGATAATTATACAAATATCAAGTACAATTATAAGTAATTAACATATACTTCGAACCAAGAAGTCGTGGATTTAAATTCTCTTCCAACCTATCGTACTCCAAATAAAATTAAAAAGGTACAATCATGTACTGTTTATTATTATTATTATTATTTTTGTCCCTATCATAGGAAAACGAAACCTGATTATTCGTCAAGATATTAAATTAGAGTTAATTTATTTTTCAGAATGGAAAAAAGAAAAAGAAAAAAAAATCCAACAGTCAGCACTGGGTTTGATTGACAAGGTCGTGATAATAAATGACAAAAATGCCCATTGACTTTGTTTACGCCTATGCTGTGTATGACGCGTAGCCCCTACACACCTACTCCCGTTCTTGCGAGTTGACGAAATTGCCCTTAGACTTTGGTTCCAATAAGAATGTATTTTTCGTATTTTATTTCACACTGAAAATTTGTCTGTATTGCGGCTCAATAGAAACTTCCTCTCCAATTNCCTCTCCACGATGGGCAAAAAACAAATAAATGAAATAATTCAGGACCAAAAAGAAAACTAATACAATAATTCGTTTTGTATGTTTTTTAAATTAATACTTTTCATGTCTGTTAATTTCATATTTTATAGGTTTGAAAATCATTTTCGTCCCTCTCTGCTCTCCATTTTTTATTCATTCTGATTACTATACTTTCAAAACGTGAATTTTAGTTTCTATACATTATACTTTCAACTTTTGTTTATTTTAGTCTCTATACTTCCAAACAAATATTTTAGTTGTGTAATTTTAAAGAGTGACAATTTTAATCCATTCATTCTTTATTTCATTTATTTCAATCATATGGTTAACGTAACAAATCACTCACTATTTTTTTTTTCGTGTATAAAATTTATGTTAAAATTTTGTATATAGAGATCAAAATAGTAATTTTTTTTCAAGTACAAGAGTCAAGACAGACATTTTAAAAGTTCATGGACTAAAATAAACAAAAACTGAAAGTAAATGGGTTAAAATGAATATTTTAAAAGTACAAAGATCAAAATAAACTAAAACTAAAAATATAGAGACCGAAATAATATTTAGACATATTTTGTTTTTTATTTCACCAAGAAGACTTCATACAAATAATTGTCTCATCTATATACCATAAATCATGCTCTTCTCGATATCGAAATAATATTTAGACATATTTTGTTTTTGATTTCACCAAAAATACCTCATAGGGAGCTAATTGTCTCATTTATATACCATGATCATGCACTTTTCTAAACAACGTGAGACTTTCTTTGCATTCCTATTACAAACCTAGCAAAGTGAAACCACATCATCAGGTTCTAAAATTTACTCCTTTTTCCAATATTGTCTCCAAGATTTTAAAATTATCAGATTAAATCTCTGCTCGATGATAAAATAAAATAAAAAATCAATCACATCCTGCTTTTCAATTCACGATGTCTGAGAAATTACTTAATCTTCCAATGGTGATTTTTTTTTTTGACAATTATAACCCCTAAAATTATTTTTACAAAAAAAAAAAGAAAGAAAAAGAAGAACTTTTGAGTTAGATAAGAGTTAGGTTGGATATTCGAGTACCATTAAGCAAATGTCAATTTATATTTATATATAAATACTAGAATAATAGAGTCATTATTATTTTGTGTTTTACAATTTAAAAAATTGTGAATATTTGAACCCATTAGGAGGTAATAATGTTGTGAAATATGCTAACGTTGACAAGATTATTGAGTGAAGGTATGATTTATATAGAAAAAGAGTCCGAAGACAGAAGTAGAGTTTACCTAATCTTCTAAGGATATTGCAGTTTTTCAAATTATTGAATGACTTTGCGAAATCGTTTGTTGATGAATAAACAATATCATTAAATTACTATGTGAAATTATCTTTTCAAGAGATGGATTTAGATGATTTGGCATGTCATGTAGTAATTATCTCTTCGAAAAGACTGATTTCTTCATATGGTAATTGAATTTTTTTGTTTGATACGGTGGTTTATTTTGTATTTCTAAGGTTGGATTTAAAAATTGATTACGTTGGAGGTGATTTTTCACCCGACATGTGGCAAGTCTTGATATGATAAGAATAACATGTGGAGATTCGTTAGTTCGGATTCCGAGTTCCAATTCGAGTCGAACCAGTAGGCGGCTGAGCTGACTTTATCTTTCTATCGTCAATGACCCCATTCATTGGTCGAGCCGATCTATGGATACTCTGTTAGGACTCGCTTTCCGACATATCCTGCGACAGCATGCCACATTTTTTGGTTACCTTAAAGAGCCGTTAGAGCTCCACCAGAGGCCTTGTCGAAAGCTCCGACTATAAATAAGACCCTCCTGCCTCATTTCCAGATATGCGAATACCATATTCTCTCTTGAATATGGTTCGGCTCAGTCATCTATTGACTTTGGCGTCAAAATGTCTTCTGTTTTGTAGATCTTCTGTTCGACACACTTTCAACTCGTCCTCGAGATCATCATCCACCGAGCCGAGGTTCGCAAACTTGGTCAGTTTTCTGGAAGCCACAAATAATTTTCTTTTACTTTTTATGAAATCATCTTTTAAAAATACACGATTTCATACCGACAGTGAAATCGTCTCTTCAAGAGCAATTTTATGGATGTAGGACATTAGCTCAATCAAATACAACAATATTTTTTAAAAAACATGGTCTAAAAACAATTTTTCAAATATACTTGAGGGAACCAATACTATATTTAGGCACCCTAAATATAATTAAATATTAAAAAAAATAAAAAAGATCTCCGACCATTAGCCCTATGTTTTCGAAGGATCCTCAACCACTACACACGTAGGGCCCACTTTTTGATACGATCAAGGATCCTGATCTTCCTACATACCCGCCTAAAGAAAGTATGCATGTTGGACGGTCGTGATTGCGAGTGCATTATCCAATCAATGAACTGAGCCGAAGATAATATACTTTATTAAGATTTTTTATTTTTATATTTTTATTTTTTGAGGTAGGAGTTTCTAGAAGATAGGCAAAAATATTGCAATCTCACCAACTTTAGTTTATTTGACGGAGTTATCTCTGACCAGATCACTAGGGACAAATGGCTGCATCTGGTTTCCAGTTTGGGGGTTTTTTTTTTCGTTTGGGATTTAACCTAATTTCCTATTGAAAAAAAAAATCTTGTATCCAATATGAAAAACATGTGGGAAATGGGAATTACCTATTCAATATTTGCTAACCCATTAAATAATTTTTGTTTTAGAATAATAATAATATAGTACTAGATACCAAGGTAGAGGTTGAGAATTTAAAACATTTTTTTTAACGAAAAGTACTTCGTTAAATTAAAGGGGAATCAATATCGACATTTGTCGTAGAAAGTAGCCAAAGATGAGCATCAGAATCTCAAACTTTGCTATCATCAAACTAAGAAGTTCTCTTTGCGAAGTTATTAATGTCTGTTGTAGTAATTTTCTTACTAAGATTCATCTCATTATTTGAAATATAATGTTAAAAATTATATTGCACCAATGGTTAATTTAAGTTTGGATTCGATTGAATTGGATCTAAAACATTTAATTTTTTTTCAATTTTTCCAATTCCAACACCATAAGGTCGTGATCAAGTTGAAAAAACAGGATAGTACAAATGGTAATTAGTGTTAGCGGTGAAACAAAGTACGAATATGCAGCTCTCCCTTACCAAGGACACGGGTGTCTGAACCTTGCTTAGCTCGGACACGCTGGGGATGAGGAAGGGTCTTCACTCCTTAAACCAAAGCTCAGCTCGACTCTAACCTGGAAAAGATTTTGACTAGTTGGAATATCGTTAAGATTTGACAAAATGACAGTTTTGCTATTAGAGAATCTTCTGGTTGTTGATGAAAGACCTGCAAAATGACTTGTACGATTGCGGTAGGATCGAGCCACGTGTCTCAACGCTACTCTTGTATAAGAAGCGAAGTTTCACATTCTAAAAGGTACACAATCTCTTGCATTCTACATAAACCCGACTTGATGTCAGTTCAGATTAAGTATTAACTTAAATTTTGGAATGTACATGACAAGCACCACACTAATGCATGGTTTTTTTGCAAGTTGCCAACAACACCACGTCAGAAATCAATATGTTACTATTGACGTATAACGTCGGGCAAAACCGTGCATCAAACAACTAGCAACTATAAAACTCAATCACATGAGAATTGATTACATTGGTCACACATTCGTAGTTTAATTTGACAAAGTTAAGATTATATTTAATATTTAATTTTGACTTTTCTTTTTCTTTTTTTCTTAACTTTACTTTTAGGTTGTTTGTTTTACTTTTAAGGTAAGAGTAAAACTCAACGAAATCTCATAGAAATAATCGACTCCAAATAGGCAAACTAGAGAAGAAAAATAAAAAACAAAGAAAAGAGAGAGGAAGGTTCTTTTAATTTCTTTATCATCTCTCATCATAGATCTTCAAACGAGACAAAAATTAACCAATAATTTAATTTAATTTTCCCCCTTTCCATTTCCCTTCCAAAAAAATTTATATATATTTATCTTGTCCATGAGAAAATGCAAGAAAGTCAAAGGGGGGTAGCCACGTCAATTTGGCTTGAACCAACTTTTGTAGACTTATGACCAATCCATCCATTCATCAAACAGTGAAAAAACTCTTGCTTTTCAATCTCTTCATATACCACTCGGTTTTGTAGAATAATAGAACAGTTCCAATCTGCAAAGAAAAAAAAATCTTTTAAGTTTTTTTTTTAATATTTTTTTGATTTGGAGTCGCCATTGAAGAAGCTGCTTTCTTGTTTCTCTCTCATTTGTGTTTAAATACAAGCCCCTCTCTCTCTCCCACCTTTGTATTCCAATAACCCATTTCTCCAAAAATCTCATCTTTCTTCCTCCCCAATTCACCAACCAACCCCATTTGATCATATTCTTGAATTTCTTCCTCCCTAATCAAAAACCCATTTTCCGAATTGGATAATAATCAATGACGATGAAGAAGAAGGTGTCGTGGAGGTCGTTTCTGCCGCCGATCTGCGGCGGCGAGATGCCGGCGAAGGCGACAAAGAAGGTGGCGGCGAAGCAGAATTCTTTCAAGAGAATTTCGCAGGTGGATTTGAGCAATCCAGGGTCGGTTCTGTCGGAGGACCTGTCCATATCCCTCGCCGGCTCCAACATTCATATGTTCACTTTGGGAGAGATTAAGGTTATGACACAGAGCTTCTCCACCGGAAGTTTCATCGGAGAAGGCGGCTTCGGCCCCGTCTACAAAGGATTCATCGACGACAAGCTCCGCCCCGGCCTCAAGGCTCAGCCCGTCGCCGTCAAGCTCCTCGACTTGGACGGCTCCCAAGGCCACCGCGAGTGGCTGGTAAGTTCTAAAAGACAATACTTTCCTATACTGATTGGACATCTGATATGGTATCGGAGCTAAATTATTTATTTATTTTGTTATTTTTTTCAGACGGAGGTGATTTTTTTGGGACAATTACGGCATCCCCATCTGGTGAAATTGATTGGATATTGCTGTGAAGATGAACACAGGGTGTTGGTTTATGAGTACATGCCAAGAGGGAGCTTGGAAAACCAACTCTTCAGAAGTAAGTTGTCAAAGATTTCAACTTTTTGTTGTAAAAATTAATGGGTTTTGGAATTGAGCTAAATTTATTGATGGGTAATTTTGCAGGATATTCAGTGTCTCTACCATGGTCAACAAGAATGAAAATTGCTCTAGGAGCAGCCAAGGGACTGGCTTTCCTTCACGAAGCAGATAAACCAGTAATTTACAGAGATTTCAAAGCTTCAAATATCTTATTGGACTCGGTAATTAAGACCACATCTTCTTCTTCTTCTTTTTCTGGATCTATCTTCTTCATTTTAACTAACTCATCAATGGGCGGTTTTTGCAGGATTATAATGCGAAGCTGTCGGATTTCGGGCTGGCGAAAGACGGGCCCGATGGAGACGATACCCATGTCTCCACGAGAGTCATGGGAACCGAAGGCTACGCCGCCCCAGAATATGTTATGACTGGTGAGTGTTAAGGATCTCACGTGGATCAGATTCGCGGTTGAAGACTATTTCTCTCCCTATCAATTTGAATTTGAATTAAGGAGTTATGTAACTAAAATTTTGGATTTTTTCAGGTCACTTGACGGCAATGAGCGACGTGTATAGCTTTGGAGTGGTTCTACTGGAGCTGCTGACCGGACGGCGGTCGTTGGAGAAGGGGCGGCCGCACCGGGAACAGAATTTGGTGGAGTGGGCGCGGCCGATGCTCAACGACAATCGGAAGCTTTGCCGGATAATGGACACGAGGCTCGAGGGGCAGTACTCGGAGATCGGAGCCAGAAAGGCGGCGGCATTGGCTTACCAATGCCTCAGCCACCGCCCCAAGCAGCGGCCGCCGATGAGCGAAGTGGTCAAAACTCTGGAGCCACTCAAGGACTACCAAGACATGCCGATCGGAACCTTCGTGTTCGCCGTGCCGTCGTCGGAGACACCCCCGGCGAACGGCGGAGGACACCACCATCAGAGACAGAATCAACCCCGACACCCGAGATCGCCGAATTCATTGACGGAAAATGCCCCCCGGAGCGGCCACCGGAGAGGAGGCGGCGGCCGGACACCGTAGGCCGGTGGATTTGGAACACTGTAAATCGAAATCTGTAGATAGAGAAAAGATTCATTGGGGGTATACTTTTGTGATTTTTCTTTTTCCTTTTCGTTGATTTGTTTGTTTTTACATAGAAAAATTTGTTCTTTTTTTGTTGTGGTAATTGTAATTTTAAATATTCGAAATGAAAGTTGAGATAGAAAATGACCAATTCAAAGGAGGCCACTCACCAACTCTCTAAGATTTGTTTACCAAAGACAAGAAATTTCAACATTGTCGAATACAGCGCCCAATTTTGGTAAATAATTTGTATAATTAATCCTCCACTTTGAAAATACGAACAAGTAAACCAATTTTTTAAACACGTTTTTCAACTTTGTGAAATGACCCTTTTGGCCTCCTTAAGTCAACTATTTTAAAAGAGGGAGGAGGATCGTCTCTCTCAACCTACCTATTTGAAATTGTGTTTGTTTGCGATTTTTTTTCTTCACAATGTGATGGAGAGATTCGAATTTATGATTTGGAAGAGATATTAACTATGGCTAAACTAAGCTCACCGTTATCTAATTTGGAGTGTGTTTTAATGATAAGTGCTTTTATAAAAAGTATTTATTAAAAAATGCTTAATAACAAATCACTCCAACCAAAAAGATATTTTAATTATATTTTCTCGCTAAACATTTAGATGTGTTTGTATATGATTAAAAGTATTCTCTTTTTTAATTTGTAGTATTTAGTTAAAATTTTAGAGAGCGATAAAAATTGCTTTTCATTGATGAAATCTATTCTTCTAAAATGAATCGTAAAATTCTAAAAACAAATAGAAAATATTTAACTCATTTTCTTGTAAAATGACTGATAGAAGTGTTTTGATGAAATACTTGCCTGCCAAACACATACTAAATTTACTATTATTATTATTATTATTTTGTGTTTTATACAAACACGATGATTTTAAGAAAGTGTTGTTCGTAATACCAAAAACAATCCAGAGAATAAACCTCAAAAGAAAATTTCAATAGTATAATTAATTTATCCATATCACCATTTTATTTTTATGAATATTACATTGTATTTTAAAGTGGTTGATGTGACTTAGGGAAAATGATATTGATATGAAAAATCATAAAAAGTTCATATACTCCAATGATTTCCTTTGAGAAAGGTCGAAAAAATAATGGAGTTCACAAGGAAATACGTAAGCACTTTAATTGAGAATCAATATAAACTTTAGTAAGAATAAAGTTGATCTCTTTGAACCAATAATTATTAGCTAAACTCAACTTTAATAAAGTTGCACTTAAACTAAGAAAGATTTTAGGATAGGGTTCATGTCATATCATTCATGGGATTTGAAAATAAGTGCGAGTTCGCTTAGAAGCCACCTCTTTCGACTAAATATTAAGAGGTATTTGATTCTCTGTTTTCAAAATAGGAGCAAACCCTACATTTGCTTTACAGTTTTGTAAACTCATGTTTACTACAGTAAATACCATTCCACCCATATGTTTGATACAGTAAATACTATTCCACTCCTCAGGTTGCTAGAGTAATTTATTCTTACTTCCCAAGTTGATACGATATACTTTGTCTCTATTCTCTCTATTAATTTTTTAATTAAATATATTAAATAATTGAAGAAATTAATTAATTATAAATAAGTAAATCAATTTAATTAAAATTACATGTCATAAATAATTAATTTATATATTGACAATTTTTTTTCTAGTTTTTTTTTAAATGATTCAAGAAAAATCTAACTTTTTTTTTTGTTCTTGGTATCTATTTCTAACTATTTTTTATTTTATATAGTTGTTCATTTTGTTTCTAACAATTTTTATTTACTTTTTGTTATCACTATTCCATTTGTAAAATTATTTATTTTAATTTTATATCTTCTTTTTAGCCTATGAAGTTAATAGTTTTTAAACAAGTATTATTTAAAATATTTTCATTTTGTAATAAAATGTAATTTTCAAATAAAAATAAGTGAAATTTAATAGTAATATTGATGATAATTAAGTAATTAATTTTTTTTAGAATAATTAAGAAATCAAATTTACTCAAGACATAAATAGTGAAAAAATTAAATAAGTTGTTTCTAACATTTTCTCTACGATAAAATTTATGTCTAACGAATTTGTATACTCTTGTTTAAACTTTGATAAATACTTCAAAAGTATTTTCCTAGAAAATTGAATATTTATTTTAAAAATTAATCATTGGAAAAAAAAATTGGATGAACAAATGTATTAAAAATATTTTATATATCCTTAAAATATTATTTCCTAATTTCATAAGAAACTGTCTTATTTAAAATAAAGTCAAATAATTTAAATGTAAGTTAAATAATTAGTTAATAAATTATAKTTTTTTAAAAGAAAATTAAAACTCAACCAATCAAACACAAGTTTAATAAAATAAACTTAACACCAACCAAACACACAGACTTAACAAATTCAAACTTAATAAACCTATTTCCTACACGGATCCTACACCAACCAAACACAGACTTGACAAACTCAGACTTAACAAACTCAAACTTAATAAATCATAGCAAAACAACAAACCAACTACCCTTAAACGCTTTAAAATAGCGTGTGAAATAAAAGAATATATCAAAAGAAAATTTTGTGTAAATATTATCCACGACTGCTTGGAAGGAGCAGGTATTGTAGCGCTAACTAAAATAGTTGAAGCCTCGCGATGTTTAAAAAAAGGGTAAAACTTCAGTCAACATTTTCTTCCTCCTCGTGATTTTTCTCCTATGCATATCTAAACATAAATTATCTTGGAGGATGTTTATCACGTGTTTAAAGTCTAATGATACATTTTCTTCACCTAACTATATTAGTAATTAAAGAAGTATTCATCAAAGCAACAAAAAAAAAAAAAAAATCATTTCATCCCCAAAATATATATATACATACATTTTTTTCTGCAAATATTGTAGCACTAGAGACGAAATGGGAAAAAAAAAAATCAATTCACAATTTACCCTTTCTTTAAACATTTATAAAATGAAGTTTTCTAGAAAATTTTTGACAAAGGTGAGTGATGAGAATATTAATTATCTTATTAATAAGGTTTTCACATATTGTTTGTTTGTGGGAAAAAAAATTCCATGACTTAAAATGTGATACATTCATCGAATTGAATATATATTGTCAAAAATAATAGATAAGGAATTGTCCAATTGATTAAAAAAAATTATAATATTCCTTCATATATGGTTTTTTGTGAGGAATTTTGGGTTTTTAGTTGAAGAGTCTCAATCAATAATAAACCTTATAATATATTCTCTCAAATAAAATTATAAAATGTGAACAATCTCTTGGCCCTTTTGACTTTGGTAATTCCCTTGAAAATTCCAGGTCATCAATAAGAGTTTAGATTTTCTTTTGAATATGTATTTGATGAAAGTTTAATTTGTAGGTCCATCTTTGAAATATAGTAGGCAATTGGGGGTAAGTTCTTCAACTCAATTTTGTCAAGGTCAATTTTTGTCTTTTTGATGACAAATTTGTGTGAACAGTTTGTTTTTTGAAAATTTCAAATGCATTTACATTTAGGTCTTCTAGAAAAAAGAAAGTCAATTTTGTTTTACACACTTATTTAAAAACTTTATATAGTTTACTGTAATTAATCACCATTTTGTTATTCATTAAAATGTACAGCTATGATTGTTTAGAGAATACACTCACAGCTAGGTAATTACATTAGAAGACTCGATATAAATTAAAGACACTGTCTTTTCCGTTCTTATACTAGCTTAAACTTTTTGAAATTCTTGCATTTGGTAATTCTCTAATTTAACTTAGATTATCACTCCATCGAAGATATTACATTAAGCACAAAATTTCTCACAACATTTTGATCGAACATAAATGTCTTAATTCGTTGAGCTATATCCAGATGGACGGATAATCTTATTAGATTAATTTCATTAAATAGATGAAGATTGGATAAAATTCACAATAATCATTTATTCATCTTGAAGTACTATTATTTCTTTTTATCTCCTTGAAAAATACGCCAAATTTTGTCTTTGGTCGGAAGTTGATACCCTAATCCTATCAATTGAATGACTATAAATCAATTGAATTTTACCTTAAAATTATCGAACAAAACAACTGTAATTTCTTTACTCCAGTCCAAATATTTATGGATAAGGATTCTTAAAAGAAAAATTATACTCGGACTCAAATATTTATGACTATAGATTCCTCAAGTTAGACTTTGACCATCTTTTTATCAACCCGCTTTATTTGCATACTCAGAATTTTGATTAAGAATGAATGACCAAAAATTTTCTATCACCAAAATCAAAGTTATTAAATTAATCGTTATCGATAATTTATGAATAAATAGCTTAATCATTTATCAAAATACTTATTATTATTTAAAAGATCAATGGTTAGAGCAATTCGATTTCCCACACCACAAATTAAAACTAATTCATTTGGAAATATAAGCGTGAAGTCTTTTCGAAACTTGAGCAGCCGATATCCATGACTTGTTTGAGCACTTGGAGCAATTTGACTCCATAATCTGACCAACCTACACATGATAGGGAGAGAATAATAATATTGCTCTTGTATTTTTACTGAGCAACTCTAACAACAATTGAAAAAAAAAATGGTCAAAATAGGAAGCCGAGCAATCATTCTGTGGATCAGTGGATGACAGATTTTGAATTGATTAGTCGTTAAAATGATATGACATAAAATTTTAAATTATGTGTGACAATATTAAATAATTTTATATTATTTTCATGAAATTTTTCTTATCTTTCCTCTTCTCCCTCACTTTCCTTCGGTCTCTTCCCCCTCCTTTCTTCTCTAATTCTCTCTCTCGTTCCATCCAGTATTTTCAATGCCAACAACGCAGTAAAAAGAAAGGATTCGAAGAACTCATTCAAAGAAAAAGAGAAAAAAACCCAAATACAAACAAACACACAAGGCACAAGAAAAAGTAGCAAATTTCAGATTGGTTTGAGAAAACCCACCTCAGCCAAATCTGTAAAATCACCAAAAGCCGCCCATCATCAATCCATTAGAAAACCCCACTAAAACAAAGCAACAACACATTCTAATTTCTCTTCAAATGCTGAATTCTGGAAGCACATTGATCAAAGGATGTGGATTAGTACCTAGGTTTAAGAATCCGACAGAAACCGAGCACGGCGACACATAGACAAAAAGATCTATGGGGAGGAAATGAGGGGTGGGGATTGGAAAGTGAAGATTAGGTCCAGTAGTTCAGTGGGAAGTTTAAATTGCAAGAATTGAATTTCTTTTTTTTCTCTCGAGTATTCTACCCTGTTGGCGTTGATGTGAGAAAACCTTGGACGCAACTGAGAGAATTGGAGAAGAGAAAAGAGAAGGGAAGAGAAGGGAAGAGTGAGGGGAAGAGAGAAAAAAAAAAATAATAATGATAATAATTATTTAATATTGCCACATTATTTAACATTTTACAACTCAATTATGCCACCTCATTCTTTTGTTCGTTAGTTAACTAGCGGACAAATAATTTTAGAGACCATTTAGAACAATTTTTTTAGAGGTTGGGAACCAAACTGTCCCTTAGGGACCAAATAGAACTTGAAAATTACTATAATTGGAATCACTTTGTTTAGAAAAAATATTATATTTACAATTACGGCAATAAATATATAATGACATTTCCTATTGGCATTAATAAACCTCGAATGTTGATTGACCCTGGGATATTACCATCTAACAGCTGGGAGAAACATCAACACTGCCATTTCGAAGCAATTTTTAAATATACCCACAGTAGAAAATGAAAGACACGATGAACTTTCATCATCATATTAAGCAACAATCATTACAATAATAAAGAAGAGAATTGGCTTTCTGATTCAAACCCAAAACATACGGAGAGGAAAGCTCAATACATGAACTTGAAGTGATGAGTCTAAGATTCACATGGTGAAGGAATTAAAGTATTGATCTTCATCTACTTCTGATGTAAAATTTATAAAAATGCATACAACAAACCTCAAAAGGATTTTGGGAATGGACATAAGAGGTTCGAACTTCCGACCAATAAACATTTTCTGTAGCATTGCTTGACCTTCGAAATTGCGACGGTATGAAGGTCCTAATGTCCATACTTCTGGAACTCCCATTCACTGTTATCTGAAAAATAATAACAAAAATTTCAATCAAGAATGTGCAGAGTTTAATGAATTAGAAACACTAAAAGCAAAATACAAATTATACCCAATGGACAGACTTGGCGGGTCTTCAACCAACGACTAATGCAGTGGAAGTGAAAAGCATGGTTGCATACCCCTGCAAACATGAATCTTAATCAAGTAAAACCAGAGCAAAGAGGCAGATAAAGGCCTGACCCCCAAAAGAAGATACAACAATAACACAAGAGATCTACAGACAAATCACCAATGAAAATCTAGATTGATATCAAACTTGTAAAAGTTTGAAATAGCTTCCATTAACCACACGAAAAAAAGAAAAGCAGGGTCCATTCAACAAGACAACCAGTATCGTTTGGAAGTTTAACTGAGATGCTTTTTATATAACCTGGAATCGATAACTTTAGCTTTTTACCCTGGGACACCCGCAACCAGGTGCAGGGCTTGAACTCGAGAGACATCAAAGATTTTTTTTGTATTAAAAGGTGGCTAACAGGGCTGTTTAACTAAGAAAAATTAGTAGCTAAAGATGATTTTTCAGTCCTGAGACTTGTCAAAGCTGCTGTAATTGCAAAGTGCACAAAAATCCAAAGATAAATGGTCAGATTTCACAAGAAAGATAATATAGCAGACACAGCTCCCTGACCGTCTAGAACAAGGAAATTAAAACCAAAATTAGGGTTTCAAAAGAGAGGCGTAATAGCATACCCCAGGCGACAGTACATTCCTCACTAGTGGCGCTCGCCTGATTTGCCTGACATTCAATGCCTAGACACCACCAAACCAATCGTAGAGTCGCACAGTGAGAAGCATCAAATTATCATAAAAAACCCGCATCTGGAATTAAAGAATACTTTCAAACTCCGAAATTTCTTGAACTTACAGAGATCCATTATGTGATTCCTACAGATTGCACAATTATCGACCACGATATCTGCACCAGGAAATCGTAATTACGTCAAGATCACGACAAGAAACCCAAAAGCGGCGAATATTTACTAGAAATCGGAAGAGTTAAAATTAGGGTTTGAAAGTACCCCAAGCCCAGAGCGCGACAGCATTCCACTTCTTGATTTCGAATCGCTTAGACTTCTTGGAAGATAAAGGGCCAGCACTACTCGAAGCCTCACCAGCGGGAACCATTGACACATCGGAATCCAACGTAGCCATGGCGGAAACGAAGATCAGAGAGCGTCCGTTCTCCGGTCAGCGGAGGGGAGAGAGGGGAAATTCCGGCGAGTAGAAGAAAAGAGGGAATCGTTGCTTGTGTTGAAAACAGAACGACTTGGAAGGAGAGGAGGTTAAGAATCTTGTTTGGGCTTTGTGTCACAAGCCTCTTGTTTTTGGGCCTTCTCTGTGTCATTAATATTTAGAAATAATGTCTTATAACTATTTTGGAAATTTATTTTCATGACCAATAGTCTTAAATTTCTGAACTTAGAACCTTTTTCAAATATCAAATTTATCCTCATTTATGGTATTTATATTTATTATAATTAATCTTCTATTTAAATATAAAACATTAAATATCAAATTTGATTTTGTACTCCTTAGAATGAAATTTATTACAAAAAATTCAATTATTCCCATAATCCCAAAATTTACTCCTTAATATATTCTACTAAATAATGAAATTTATTACAAAATATTTTTTCTTTTCATTACAATTTTTTGTTAAATTTCAATAATATAGTCATCATAACATAGACGACATATATATTTATATAGAAATATAAACTATATCCAACTATCTTTTCATTTATATGGAAATATAAACTATATCTCATAAACTTAAGCAACATACACTTAACAATAGTGATATAAACTATAGTCATTATAACATACATTTGGAGATATAACCTATATTTGACTATAAAGTATATACGACTATATCCCTCTACAATTAACAAACAAAGTAAATAACTTACAAACCTTTCGGTCGGCAACTAGACAATGGTCGGGATAAACGGAGGGCTCGCATGGTCGATGGACGGTCAGCGACAAAAAAGAAACCTCAGGATAAACAGACGGAAACAATAATGGGCGGGCGGTCGGAGACGGAGAAGCTAGAATTTGAACAAACCAACTTTTTCCACATTTAAGAGAACAATCGCTAAGTATCATATATACGTTCATTGATACTTTATAATTTTGATATATGTATATATTTACCAAACATTATTATTCACAAATGTATATAGCCCACAAAATTGACGCCAAAGACAAATTCAAATACTTTTTATGGGAGTTGCTTTCTGTATCACAAAGAGTTGTCGTGAAAAAAGCAGCATGGGAAGGAAGAATAAAAAAGTTTTCAAATGACAAGGTTATGGACCCAATAATCATATATACTGTCTTCCACATAGAAATTTTAAATTTAAAGTTTAGAAAAAACTATTAAATTTAAGAATCTACATCGACAAAATTTATCAATTTTTTTATTTATCTACTTTCAAACTTTGATTTCAAGATACAAAGTATAATTTTTAAATTAGATTTTAGTGGTTTGAACTTCATTATTTGATTAGTTATAATTGATACTCTGTTTTTGTTAATTTTAGTGGTTTCAAATCTCTAAAATTAAGCATGTATATATGGTATATTTGTCTAAAATATTATTTGGGATCTTAAAAAAAATCTTTATTTAATAATTTGTACAATATGTTATACATTTCATTTTTTTAAACGTCTTATTTATTTTAATTATTTCTGCAGTTTCTCCTCCTAATTTTCAAGTTTGAAATATAATTTGATCGAAGATAGTACCAGAACTAGTTGAGCCACGTTGGACTTTATTTGCTGCATGTAATAATCCTCATTCATAATTTGCTTTCACAAACATGTAAAAATCAACCATCTCATAATAGTTCTCAATCACATAGGTTTTCCACTAATTGAACGCCATCACTTCTAATTATTGCTCCATCCATTTTTCCTACTTACAAATTTTAAATATTTTCGTTTTTTAGAGGTTAAATTATCTCACTAATTTGTGTTAAATTCTCCCTAAAACATATGTTATTCCATAACCAAAAGTTGAAACAGCGCCCGCAAGTTTGCGTATATGTAGAAATGAAGTACGTTTATTATATTGTTTTTTTTTTCTTACTACAATAATTTGACGATATGGGAAATCGAATCTCCAACCTTGAAGGAAGAAATACATGTTAATTACTGCTCACTTATGCTCATGTTGGTCATTTATTTTTGTTAAAACTTAAAGTTTCGCATACAAAAATGAGAATAACTCACTCACCGTCTAAAAAATCTCTTTCTTTTGCCAAACTATTTTCCCTAAAAAGAAGTGTTTTTTTCTCTCTAAAAGGACTTTCTTACTCTTAAAAAGTTTATCTTTTCCTCTTGAACACTCTCCTCTCTTCTAAGATAGGTGACTATTATAGAATTTGAACCTATTTCCTCTTAATTAATCCTAGCTCTTTTGGACCAATCCACCTATGGTGGTTAACTTTCTAAAACTCTAGTTTTGCATCATTCGACATATATATTATATAAACTCAAATGTTCAAGCATTCAAACTCATACCGAAATGCTCGTTTGATGACGGTTTTGTGGTAAATCGACGAGGAGAATAGGTTAAAGGAAAAAAAACAAAGATGCACAAATTTGGTCCTCTCTTGTCATGTGAACACACAATAGAGAGAAAAATGGTGGCAGTGGCATATTATTGCTGCTCTCCCTCTAATGTTTCCACTGTTGGTGTTGGATACAACTATTCATCCACAGTGCTTCCCTCCCAAACCACCCCATTTCCCTTTTTCTCTCATTATATCAACTTAGAATTCAATTGGGACTTTTGTACATTCAAACAAATCTAGTTCGAACCTTTCCATTTTTCTCTCTCATCATATGAACTTAGTGATGAGAAAAAATTCGCCTACACCACCGAACAGAAAATAGTTGAGAAATTTAAAGAAAGCAACGAAATAGGAAGACACAAGATTTAACGTAGAAACTTCGAATCTAAGAGAAAAAATCACGACCCATTAAGGAAAAGTCACTATGATTTTTCTCCCCGATTCTAATTATACAAAACACAATATCGCTAAGTTAATTAAAACTAGTATATCAGGCCTAAAGTATTTCAATTTGGATGAATAAAACTCGAAGTCATTGACTCATTTTATAGCACTTTGAGCACACTCTCTCTTGTACTTTTTTCGATGCGGGACAATTCACTCCTCTAATATTTTACCAAAACCCAACACTTAAAATTCAATTGGGATTTTGATACTTTCAAAGAAATCTAGCTCAAACACTTTGCTTTTGGTTAAGTATGCTTTTGCTCGAAACGATTCCACGTTGGATAGTATTATTTAGGACATTTTTTAAGAGAAGCATACGAGTGAAGAGATAATAAGCAAGGTTAAGAATTCATGTAAAAATAACTCATTGATGTTACTATAGTGTGACTAAACCAAAAATTATGATGTGGTTATGCTACACGATTTTTCAAGTGACTAACGGAGTATGACTAACCCCTCAAGAAATGATTGATTCCATTTAAGACAACAATAAAATTGAGCAAAAAAATAAAAACCATATAAATATTTAAAGGTATCTTTGAAACATAGAAGGATGATGATTGGCATACCTCACTAGTCACACAACCCAATGAACAATTATTGCTACGAATGAAACTATTGTAAATGAGATAAATTATTGGAGGAGACCGTCGAAATATAGTGGGAAAGGGTACACCATTTAACGAAGAAAGAAATCACAAAAATACCTCGTGAATTTATATCCAACATAAATTTTCGAATCTGCCACCAACGCAGGGCGTATAAAGTGCTAACTCATAAAGGACGACAAAGGCAAAAGATAGAATGAAATTGAGGTGTGTTGTTGCGACTTTGTTCCCTCAATTATATAGGGTTGGTTGGTAAGGCTCCACTTAAACACTCACACATAAGCCTCCACAGTATAAAACCCTGCGTTTTTGGGTGCTCTAATGCTGGCTTCATCTTCACCAATTCACTACTAAATTAAAAGGCTCCACTAAGCTTGATTTCAATTTGGCCAAAAAGGGTTTTTTCTGCACATGCTTCTTCTGATCTTTTTCAATCCTACTTTTTAGCCACAAATATTAAGTGGAACATGGATCTTACTTTTTGTGTATTCATTATTCTTCTCATACTTTTCCATATGTATAGATAATTAGATATGGATCTTTTCTTCTCTCTCTATTAACCTCTTTTAAGTTGCACTATTTTACAAGTCATGGACCATCCATCTCAACTTGCCTTGGAAACTTCCTCTCCTCTCATTGTCTCAATGATCCTAATTTGAGCAAGGACGAAATGTTTAGAAATAGTTTTGAGCACTCTATGATTTTGGGATCTATCAATCATACTAATTTGTCAAATCATTTAAATGAAATCAGTACGCATGAGACGGGAAGATTAGACCAACTTTTATCAATTTCATTAAGGAATATTTGAGTCATAGTTTTAGTATATAAAAGTTGGAAGCTTGAGTTTGTATAATAAGTGTAGAATAAAAGGTGGGATTCGAAAGTGTAATAGCCTACGAGACCAACAAATAAGCTATAACCATAACTTGAATAACTAATGCCAATTTTGAGTATAGATTGACTGGTTAAGACATAATTTAACTAAAAAGAAAAACTTACCAAACAAAACTCAAATATTTAATATAGGCTCCTAATCCATGATCAAAATAAAGACATGATTTGCAAAATAAACAAACAATTTAAAATATCCCAACTGATTATGATTACTTAAATATGAAGTTTACAACATAATGGCACATGTTATGATAAAGGACAGCAAAATGGGCCTATGATAATGATAAAGAATAGTGTGAAAATGCCAGCACACAGAAGAAGTAATTATAAGGCCAAGAAGAGAAATCCAACTCAATCCAAAGAGTTCCTCATCCTCTACTCCAAACTCGGAAGTCAAAGATGCAGACTCAAACATTAATGACAAACAGATCAGTAAAAAAATCAACAAGTTTGAGTCTTTGAGGAAGGACGAAGAAAAGGGTCCGACCAGAAGAAACTTGGCTTGGAAAATGCACAAAGATTATACTAATCTTTGGCATCGGGAATTGGGAATTGGGATATAAATAACATTAAAGTAATCTGCTCTCCCACAGGCCACACAGATCCCAATCCCAAGTCGGTGACTCAACAGCAATAAACAAAAGAATTGGCCACAGAAGGCGTGGCCTGAATTAAATTATGCTTCTCCACTGTTAACTCTCTGTCCATATTCCTTTAGACCCCCATGATTCCATTCCCTAAGCGTGCACTTTTCTTCCCATAGAGAGAGAGAGAAATTGATGTTAGAGGTGGTGGCTCAATCGGCGCCACCATCCACGGTGAGATTGAGTGGTGGAGCCACCCCACTCTCATCATCTAACACAAAGGCAAATGATTGAAATTAGTGATGATTTGGGGGTAAATTATGAGGATTTGGGTAAGTAGTTGAAGAGGGGTTTGTGTTTTGGGGTTATTGGGAGGAGTGTGGATCTGATTCTGAACTGAACACAGCAATCTACGGCCAGCTGGGCATGTGTTGAATATTATGCAAGTCCCATCGCATTCGCCCAACGGCCATGTCCAGGTTTCCAGTCAAAAAACTTGATTTCTAGCCGTTACCTTACGCAAATGGTGTGTGTTGGGTTGTGCTGTGTGTGGGTTGTCCCGCCCTCTTATCTCCTTTTCTTCTGAGAGAGAATTAAAAAAAAGGGTAAAAAGAGGCCATTTTGGCACTTTCTCCAATGCATCTATCTGCGTTATTTCATTGACTGCTGTGTCCTTCTCTTTTTCCTTTTCCCCAAACAACCCTCTTATCACTTCCCCAAAATGCCACCACAATGTCCTCTTTCTCGGCTCATAGGCATTTTGTCGAACAGTTGGTGTGCAACTTCCATAGTCAGTAA